TTTGTGTGTGTGTACCATCAAATCGGATCTGACTGGTACAGGAGGAGATTGTCTCTCCTTTTCCAGCAGAGCATCTGGTGGATATTTTATTAATTTTAATGAACATTTACAAAGATTTTAGATTTCCATTCATTCATTATTGCACTTTTCTCCCTGCCCACCCCTCCCCCTCAGTTCGCTCCTCTCTTTGAATAGTAAAAGAAAAAATTCCTTCATTGGTATACAATCCCGCCGCCCACACACCCACCCCACCGCCCCGAGTACACTCCACTATACAACCTTAATTCTGGACTCTTGTGATAACCATAATACCTTATAATATATTGCTTTTAAACAGTTCTCTCCTTCATCTGTTTCAATGCAGTATACATAATTTATCCGGTTTTTCTCAGTCTTACCCCAACCCTGATGTTAGTCCCATTCTACAACAGTGGCACTAGGCAGTATTTGTCTTTTTGTGACTGAGATATTTCACTCAGCATAATTTCCTCCAGGCTCACCCATTTTGAATAATATTGCATGAGTTCCTTGTTTTTCAATACAGCGTAATATTGCATTGTGTGAATATACCACATCTTCTCTATCCATTCGTTTGTTGATGGGCACTTAGGTTGTTTCCAACTCCTTGCTATTGTGAAAAAAGCCACGATAAACATGGGTGTGCATTTATCTGCTTGGATGGCAGTTATGGTCTCTTTAGGGTATATTCCCAGTAGTGGAATTGCTGGGTCAAATGGTATCTCTATTTGCAACTTTTTGAGAAAGCGCCACATCACTTTCCACAGTGGTTGCACCATTTTACACTTCCACCAACAGTTAATAAGGGTTCCAGTTTCTCCACAATCTTGCCAGCATTTGATGATTGTTGTTCTGTTAAATTTTGCTATTCTTACCGGGGTGAGATGATATCTCATAGTTGTTTTGATTTGCAGCTCTCTTAGAGCTAGGGATTTTGAACATTTCTTCATGTACTTGTTGGCCATCTGAATGTCGTCTTTGGTGAAATGTCTGTTCATATCCTGTGTCCATTTTTCAATTCGATTATTTATCTTGTGGTGAAAATGAATGAATTTTTGAAGGGAAGTTTACATATTCTGGTTTTTCATTCATCTCTGTACATTTTCTTTATAACATAATTACAGTTTTATTCAGTCATTGTCATTTCTATGCATTTTAGAGTATTAATTACTATCTGCTAATATAATTAATTATGGTGTTTTATCAATATATTGTATATTGCCTTTCTCTTCACCCAATCTATGTAACCTTTTCCTTAGCTATTTGTAATGATGGCCTTACACCATAATAGCTCTTTTGTAACTGACTTCTTTTACTTAATGTATTTTAGGTACATTCAATGTTATGCAGTGTCTCATGCTGCACTTTTTTGGATTGTGTTGCTGACTTCTTTGTTTCATATGTTTTTCTGTGTAGAGTTAATTTTGTTCATGACTCCTTATTTCCTTTATTGCTTTATTTAGAGATTCTAAATCTTTATGATTTCCCTCCCTTTCTTTTTTTAATGTCATTTAATTGTATTTCAATATTATTTGTAAATTAGTTAACTTATTTTCTTTCCTTTTCCTTTTTTATTTCTTTTATTTTAATGAAAGTTTATGGAAATTTTGGATTTCCATTCATTCATTGTTGCACACTTTCCTCCCTGCCTACCCCACCCCCCAGTTTGCTTTTTTCTCTTTGGAGTCAAGGATTCTGAAGCTTCGTCTGACATACTTTGGGCATGTTGGCAGAGTAGAGGGGCAGCACAGGAGAGGAAGACCCTCGATGATGAATTGATTCTGTGACTGGAGTGATAGGAATGAGTGCGTTTGAGACGGCGAGGTTGGCACAGGATAGAACAGCGTTTCGAGCTCTTGTACATAGGGTCACTATGAGTCGCAAGCAACTCGATGGTATATAGCAACAACAACAACATGGAAATAGAAACACCAAAATAAAGGAGTACAGAAGGAAGGGGAATCTGAATAGACAGGCAAAAGAGAGAGAAGTCTAGCAAGAGAAGCTAGAAGAGGTGGAAGAAACCACCAACACCCCACAGTATCTATAAGAACAACAAACAAAACTCAAAAAATTATTGCTGTTGATCAGCTGATGTTCCAGTGGATTTTGGAGAACTATAAGTGCCAGGGGAGAGGATTGCCCATCTTTTGCCTACAGAGGTGCAGGTGGATTTGAACCACCAGAGAATTGCCACTTTAGGTTAACAACTCAACTAATTGTGGACTAAGCCACTAGAGAGCTCTGACCAGAGTGGGAAGACAACCAGCAACAAAGGATTTCAACCTGATAAAGAGATCTTCCTCAAAATTGTATTTTTAGGCTCTGAAAATAAAGGAGCCTGATATGGAGGTGTCTTTCTTTTTCTTTTTTTATTTTCATTCATTTATTGTTGCACATTTTTCTCCCGCCCCCCTCTATTTTCCCCTCCCCTGATTCATTTTCTTTTTCTAAATATTCGTTCATTGTTGCATAGGAGGTATCTTTCAATTGTCCTTCTATACTAAAAATGACTTTTCTATTATCTTTTAAAATAATACTAAAGAAAGTTAGTTTCTTAATGATTTCTTGCCCCTTTTAGTTGCCCCTTTTTTATTTGTGGGTTTCCCAATTGGGAAAAAAAGTGATGACTCTGGCTGAATGGAGGGCTCTGATGTTAATGCCCTGCTCTAGAAGAGACTGATTCCTGTAAAATTCTAGTATCTATTAGGGGTATATCATGATAGGTTGTGAAAAGATTGAGGTTGTTAACACTTTTATCTTATTCAGATCCACAGTCAATACTCTTGACACCAGCAGTCAGGAACAAAAGACAAGATGCATTAGGAAAGTTTATTGTCAAGAACGTCTCTAGAGTGCTGTAGAACAGTGATGTTAGTCTAAAGATTAAGGTGCAGCTGATCCAGGCCATGGTCTTCTCCATTACTTGATAAGCATCTGAGAGCTGGATGATGACTAAGGATGACAGAAGAATAGAAACCTTTGAGTTGTGATGCTCAAGAGTATTGAACTTACCATGGACTTCCAAGAGAACAAACAGGTTTATTCTGGAGAAGGTGAAACCAAGTTACTTCTTGGAGGCAAGATTTTGAAGCTCCATCTCCCATACTTTGGGCATGTTGCCAGAAGGGACTAGTCCTTGTAGAAGGACATAATGCTTGGAAAGATAGAGCATCAGCACAAGAGGGAAGACCTTGAATGAGATGAATTGACACAGTGGCTGTGGCAACAGAGTCAGCTGTGTCAGAGATGGTAAAGTTGGCTTTGGATAGGTCAGAGTTCAGAGCCATTGTTTATAGGGTCACTATGAGTCATAGTTGATGTGACAGCATATAACAGGAACGAGGAGGATGTTGAAGAACTACTTAAATTAGCTACTTGGGCAATTTGAAAGACTGAAAGAGAAAACTTGAATTTGTAAGATGGAGTCTGAACTTGCCCATCCCACCGTGCAGCGAAGCAGCATTTCAGTTCCTGCTAATCATAAGCCTCCTGTTCTGAATGTTAAAGCAGGACTAAGGTGAGAAGCAGTGTAAAAACCCACTTAGTTAGAAGGGAGTGGAATTCAGTCTGGAGGATAAATTTCCCAAGCAGCTTCAACAGGCATTCCCATATCATACAGCTGTTGTCACTGGAACAGTTGTGACCTCGGCTGTCCTGGTCTTGGAGCTTCCACCTTGAGTTCTGATTACAAGTTAAGCAGTTGCAGAACCTGTGCTCAGATACTCTAGTCCAATGAAAAGATTGTTCTCTGTAAGGGCTACCTCTCACTGCCTTCTATTTGGAACTGACTCATTGCTGACCCAACCCAGGATTTCTGGGCTGTATCATACAGGAGGAGAGTGCCCGTCTTTCTCCTGTAGAGTCACTGGTGGATTCACTTGACCTCTGGATTAGCAGCTCCCTATGGCCTATGGTGTCAGAGCTCCTTGTTAGGCCCACCAGCAGTGGTTAATGAAATCAGCCAAAGTAAAAGGAGTCTCTTCAAGGTGTTTTACATTCAGCAGGGAAAGAGTATTTTCTTGGAGGACTATCCTCTCATGCACACACTCTAGCACACACATACACACATCCCCCCAAAAGTAAAGCAAGATTTTTCAATCTTGTATTTGTTTATTATGTTGTTGTTGTTATGTGCCGTCGAGTCGTTTGCGACTCATAGCTACCCTATGTACAACAGCCCTAAACCCTGCTCTATCCTGTGCCAAACGCATTGCCTCTGACACACCCATCCCGATTACCCCAGTCACTGAATCAATCCACCTCATAGAGGGTCTTCC